TAAGTGTCTGATAACCACGAATAGTAAGCAATGATATGACAGTAATGATATAACATATGTCAGACACTGTGTTATTTTCAAGCAAGCCTAAAAGATAATGTGTTCAAACTGGCTTCACTCGCTTTAATTGCTCCTTTGAATGTAATTTTCCTCTGTGGTTTCCTACTCAACACATATTTGTATTGTAATGCCACTCATATTTTATTTTTTATTGTATTTTAAGGTGACATTGAATGCTTTGAAAGGTGCCCTAAAATAAAGTGTATTATTGATCTTATATCTGTGCCTATATCACACTATTAATGTTCCTTATTTCAGACTAGGTTCATCATGGTGTCCATAGGGAAGATCTGCACTGTTCTCTATAACATGTTCAGCAGAGCAGGTATTTCTCCTGCCAGATATGGCACCCCCCCTACAACTTTGTCCAGGACAGTCACAACTTCACCAAAATCACACTGGTGTTGCCTGTTCCCCTCTAGTTTATGCTCACCAAAGCATTTCACTCTGGGCCCAGCAGCTACAAAACTAAAGAGGGGTTCCATATCCGGCAGTGTAGGTGCTAGAGCTGCCGGATTTTGAGGCGCCCCCTGTAATTTTACTCTGAAATGAATTACATTATTTAGCCTGCTGCTTGATAATGTAATTTCTGGCTCGTCTTTTAAAGTGTTTATGGGTAAAAGTGAAATTACGATTTACGTATAACGTAAATAAATATGGAAGTGGCGTAATATGAGTGTACACAGGTGTATACACGTATACACAGGCCTACTTGTCCAGTCCTCTGCACATTTGAATAACATAAATACAATTAAAATGGGCCCACTTTGAAATAAATAAAACATATCTGCACCCTAAAAATAGTTAACTGATTGAATTATGACTATAGATCGTCAGCTGTCTTCCGTGGTTTTCCTCCAATATGCCTACGTAAAGGCTGAAGCACCTTTTAACAACTTCTCTCTATCAATCGGACGCCAGCATTGTTAGCTGTGAAAGCACACGTGCAAGCATATACCTCTGTCTACGCAGGATTACATCCTCTGTTTTCCTTAGATACTTTTATTTTCTTTAATTTATCCATAGTTCGCTCATCGAGCTGGGGGTCAGGTTATTCACCTGCAAGAAAATGCGCTGGTGCGGGACCGTATCAGGATATAACGCATTATTGATGTGTCACAGTATCACCTCAAAATACAAGATACAAAACATTTTTCAACCATGCAACAAAATATAAATATTCCTACAAATATTTGTAGCCTATATAATTTCCTTTTTATTTTTGTCTAAGGTCAAGGGAGCCAAAGCAGAGGGCTTAAAGAGCCGCATGCGGCTCCGGAGACGGTTGCTGAACCTTGATCTGGTAATAAAGAACTTGTGCGCTGTTGAAAGAATTCAAAACACTTGAACTTATTAAAACAGGGATTTTTATTTGCCAGGAAAAAGGGTAATTGTATTCAGATATTACACAGAAACGCAGAAATGACTTGGACTGCATGCAAATACAAGATCTTAATCTTCCTCAGAAATAAAAGTCTGCTCTGCCGGATATGGAAGCCCCTCTTTAGTTTTGTAGCTGCTGGGCCCAGAGTGAAATGCTTTGGTGAGCATAAACTAGAGGGGAAAAGGCAACACCAGTGTGATTTTGGTGAAGTTGTGACTGTCCTGGACAAAGTTGTAGGGGGGGTGCCATATCTGGCAGGAGAAATACCTGCTCTGCTGAACATGTTATAGAGAACAGTGCAGATCTTCCCTATGGACACCATGATGAACCTAGTCTGAAATAAGGAACATTAATAGTGTGAAGGCACAGATATAAGATCAATAATACACTTTATTTTAGGGCACCTTTCAAAGCATTCAATGTCACCTTAAAATACAATACAAAATAAAATATGAGTGGCATTACAATACAAATATGTGTTGAGTAGGAAACCACAGAGGAAAATTACATTCAAACGAGCAATTAAAGCCAGTTTGAACACATTATCTTTTAGGCTTGCTTGAAAATAACACAGTGTCTGACATGATCATGTGATATCATTACTGTTATATCATTGCTTACTATTCGTGGTTATCAGACACTTAAACAACAGAGAAGGTTTTAAGAAATAGGACTATACTGACGAATGACATATTATCCTGTCATTGTCTGTTCTGTAGGAAGGAGGAATATAACAGAGTGGGACTGCACTCAAAAACGGAAGTTTGTTCCAATACTAAGATTGTGACTATCTGAAAAGTGTCCTTAAAACGAGCCTCCTCGCAATTGTATGCACATTATTTATTCAGCCGTTTGCTGTTTAATCTGATGGGAAATATATCATTCAAAAGAGAGAGAAAAGCTTATTAAACTAGACGAACGCTCAATACAGGCGATGACGTCACGTTTGCGCGTCCCCGCGAACAGGGCTTCAATCTACGGCAAGGCTTCAATCTACGGCACAACATCGTTGACTGGTCATGCTATTCTGCCCGCCTCCAGCATGGGTTTTGTTTGTAAAACTTAGTTACTTCGACAACACTATTTAAAAAAACAAGTCTTTAATCTTTAAATGTTAATCTTTTCAAATGTAATCAGCAGGGGCGGATCTAGACAAATATTCCTGGGGTGGCAAGAGAGTGGCAGGAGAATTTCAGGGGTGGCGTCCCCTGGCAGAAGTATATGCTGATTTAATCGCAGTCATATCAACAATGTTAGCTTGGAAAGCCACAATATTAATATTTTAACTAAATAACATTAGGTGACATTATTGTGGCACATCAGTAAAGCCTTACATATAAATATATAAGGTGGCAGACATAATTGAATGCATTTTAACTGAACAATAACTGAATGAGTTGGTTTCACTCTTAGACCAGCAGGGGTACAAATCTATGCAGACTGCTGCAATAAGTACATTAATTAACTGTCTCGTCGATGTTTGTCTGTATGAATATGATAATATTAACAATCATATTATTCCTATCAGCTGTCAATCACTGTTATGATTCACATATTCAGTGTTATTATTAAATAAACTATATTTTTTGGAAGAGTTAATGATGAATGTTCCTCAAGATGCTTGCTCACCCTCCTTCAAATTTGAAAGACAAGTAATTACTATCATAAATCAAAAGAATCAACAGAACAGTTCAGCGCCCCACAACTTCATTGCAAACAGTTACAACCTTGACTTTACATCAGAAAGAACAAACATTAAAGAAGTGACTAACTGCATCAATTAGGGTTAAAAAACGTGTATTCAGCTAAAACATATACATCGCTGCAGTTATTATCCAGTAAAAATTTTTTGGCTGGGCAGTGAAGTTTTACACACCGTCTTATTTGACTTTCTCAGGACTTGAAACAGTTTTTGGGGGCAGACCCCCACAAAGAAGAAAAATATTATACACACGTAAGGTCATCATCTTAACAGTTTATTATTCTCATCGACTCATCCGTGAGCAGAGCATCAAGTTGGCATGCCTATAACAGCTGAATGTGGCGATTACCATCTTGATCAGCAAAACGCCTCACAAACTTATTAAGATTTAAAGCTATGGTGCGTTTTGATTCAATGCTGAGTACAGCCAAACTTGACAGGCTCTTCTCTGTCATTGTCGAGCGCAAACAGTGGCGGCTCCAGAGTATTTGTGTTGGGTAATCTATGGTAGGGCTTACCCATGCAGTGGTGGGGCTCAAGTCAGTATTTGCAATGTAATTACATACACGCTCCCCTTGACAGTGAAACGCCACGCGTGAGGTTTAGATTATTTCCCTGTCTCAATCCAACTGTATGAAATAAAAAGGCACATTTGTCTTGTAGTAAATCAAAAGGGCGACCTGGAGCCAATCCTGCAATTTCCCCACAAGTGAAAGAGTTGACATGCTGAAAACCCAACCCCTGCAGGGGGGTCTGAGGAGATTCTCCCCCAGGAGATTTTTTGAAATACTAACATAAAATACACATTCTGGTACTCTCTTGAGAAGAAAAATAAATAAATCTATTACTACACGACATATTTAAAAAAATGAATGCCATTTTAGTTTTTTGTTACTTTGTTCTGAAAGCTGAACCTGCTGCTACTCACAGAGAGAAGAGGGAAGAGGCTGTGTGAATTACTTTACATTGTGGATAGCCCCCATTGTTCTGTGTGTCAAAATGAAAGACAGCCCACAACACCTATCAATCATCAAACCGTGGGGTCTTATTTAATGTTGTATCGATGTATATAGAGATGTACTACAGCAAAATTATTCTCCGTCGGGACTTCCTGCAACAACACCACGCCTTTATCTTGATTCTGATTGGCCAGAAGACATTATCAAAGATGTTCTATTGTGAAGACGATCACTACGTGACAAAAGTTTTCAAAACCGTTTCTAGTCTTCGGTATTTCCAGACAAGTGGCTACTGGAATCAATCTTACTAACTGCTGTCTGTGCAATTTACTCCGCGCGAGTTGGCGGACTTTATTTTGCTTACTTTAACATCATTTTTCATGGTGGGGCTAAGCCATTCCCACGCTCGCGCCAGGGCCGGGGTTAACTTACAAGGCTCGCGTCTTGTGCTGCATTCACTTGCACTCGGACATTAGAGATTTTCTCTCATAAATGTCCGATGAGCCACAACTTTTCTTTCAAAACAAAGCTGCCAAATGGGGTGGCAGCTGGGGTGGCAAGGCCTTTTTCTGAGGTGGCAGCTGCCACCCCGTGCCTCCCCGTAGAACCGCCACTGGTAATCAGTAATGGTGATTGACCTTGAGGTGCTGGTAAAATATTTCAAGTGGCTACCTGCCTACTTTTACTTATTCACATGAGAGACAAATACAAATGTTATACATTATACTGTAAATATTTGTTTACATGCAAGCCAAAAGTGTCTCTGAATAGTACGACAACGATGTGAAATGCCCAACATAGTCAAAAATACCATAATTAACCACTTTGAGAAAACGGATTAACCAAAAAGTTAATTTGTTTTAAAACTACACCGTGGAAGAAAATAACACAGGATAACATTATAATCAGCCTTTATTTATTTATTTTTTAAAAGTTGGAAATAAGGTACAATATGTTTTTTTTTATATATTACCACCTATCATCAAAAGTAGATTCAAGTGACCAGTCTGTAGGAGGAATCTGGAGTGTGTGCACCATCCTGTCTGCCCGGCCGTCCCATGTCTCCGACTGGTGGTCATCATCGCTGGTTCTGAGGGAGAAGACAGGAAAAGAAGAACAAAAAAAAGGGGGAAAATGACTGAAAATGTTTTTTTATGTTTATTCTGCAATTGTATTTTGTCTCTCTTCATGCCATTGCTATCAATGCAGGACTTGACTAACCTGCAGTTGTAGGACAGATTGAGGGCGGAGTAGAGCTCAGGAGTGCTGGGGGTGTGTACCGTGACTCCATAAAGAGCGGCTGTCCCCAACTTGGTCGGAGATGGAGTAATGGGAAGACAGCCAGATATGCCAGTGGGCCCCAAGCTACGGAAATCTGGAGCCACTACACATCAGGGTTTTTTTATTTTATTATTTCACCACAGCACATTAGTGATTACACATCACTTAGTTTAATTGAACTGTATACTCACTGAGAGCACTGCCCTCTGCCCTACTGTTGGTTGGAGCTCCTTTACCTGAGCGAGGTGGCTCACACAGATATTTCTGCTTCAGGAGAGAGGCCTTGTGTTGCTCAAAATCACAGCGCTGTACAAACAAACAGTGAAAAAAGCAGCTTTTAAAAAAGGCGAAACACTACGGTGGACGACAGGTGCAAAGGAGCTACAACGGCCCAAACACTTCCATCAGCAGAAAAACGCTGTGCAGTTAAAAAAAACGATGCAAATATGAAAACACAAACGTGCCAAAACACATGCAAATGAAGAACCAGTTTACCAACTTGATGAAACTCGCAGCATTTACTAAAAACGCTGAATAAATGCAGCAAAACACTAACAAAAAAACCCGCTGCAGGAAGCTCAAAGCCGCAATGGGGACAATAAAAAGTGATGCACACAGCTGGGACCATACACAAGATGGCCAACTGTCATTATTTGCGGTAGTCTGTTTCATTATTGTAAGTGTTTTATCAGTATATTTGAAGAATTGGTTAGCTTCGTTAGCTAGCTTCGTTAGCTAGCTTTCTGCAGCGCGTTTGTCCTAATTGAGTGTTTTGGGCCGTTGCAATGCTTTTGCACTGTCCGCTACCGGAAGACACTACTAGCAAAAATGTTGGGGATATAATGAAAAAACTATTTGAACATCCAGATTACACATTCATATTTATTCTAAATTCACTAAAAGTTAGCATTAGAGAAACATTTTAACAGAACATTTTGTCTTTGTCTTAGTGTAAGAAATCAACTGGTTTGAAACTACTACTGAAAATGCACATTTTGACAGAGAGAGAGATCGATAGTTACGGCTGTAACTACGGTTCTATGAGTCCCGGATGACCGCCAGAGGCGGTGCTTTCAGCACTGGATATGTCCATCGCGCGCATGCGCAGCTCGAGTACCAATACCAACAAAGTCACCTGTGACCCACGTGACACCGGCTATATCAGCCGGTGTCGTCAGAGGATCTGTTCCCAGAATCTTCTCGCGAGCACACAAGAATTCTGAGTGACAGGGAACTCTGGCGGTCATCCGGGACTCATAGAACCGTAGTTACAGCCGTAACTATCGTTCTATTTCGTCCCTACTGACCGCCAGAGGCGGTGCTTTCAGCACTGGATGACTTATACCAACAATGTCATGAAGAATCCAAGCCCTTGCTCACCACTGGAAACAGCGGAGCTCGGCAAAAGGACCACGCCCAAAGAATGGGGAGTGGCGACATTGACCTGATGACAACTGGAGAATGTGCCAGAAGACACCCACGACGCCGCGGCGTAGATGGTCTCCAGGGGCACCACCCTCAGGGCAGCCCAAGATGTTGAGATGGCTCCTTGTAGAGTGGCATCTCAGCCTGATGGCAGGGGCGGCCACTGGCCCCGTAAGCCTGTGAGATGGTATCGACAACCCAGTGGGGCAGCCACTGGTTAGAGGGCATAACCTCCTTTAGTGCCGCAAGGGCAAAATCAAGAGTTGCTCCTACTACCGTATACAGGCAGTAGCTTTGATATACGCCCTTTGGGCACCCCCAGGGCACAGCAACTTCGACGTGCCGTACTCCTGAATGTCAAAGCGTGCCAGCTGGGCAGGCTGATTGAAGTGGGTTTGTGGAAGGACCCCGGGCTGGAATGCCACATTTGCCCAAAGGGCAACGCCTGAGAGTCCCACCTCGGGCATGTATTGTTTATGGAGAGGACATGCAACTCCCCGACTCGCTTCCCTGAGGCTATGGCAAGCAGAAATGCTGCCTTCGTGGGCAGCCACCTAAGCCCCACCTGGGCCAGGGTCTCGAAGGGAGGAGATGATAGGGCATCCGGCAGCAGAGGCAGGTCCCAAGCCGGAGCCCTCGGGGTGCTAGGGGGACGCTGCCGTAAAGCCCCTCTCATAAAGAGGGACACCGACCTGTGGCACCCCGCCGTGGCGCCGTCGACCCGAACATGTCGGGCAGAAATCGCAGCCACATAAATTCAGAGTGGAGTGAGAACGTCCACCATCTAGAAGGGACTGTTGTCTAAGCAACAACGTACATGCTGTCCCCAAGGAACACACACATTCTTGCTCCCCAGTTGGGGTAGGAAGTGCGTGAGTGCAAGCTGCACAGCCCGAAGCTCTAGCATGTTGACCTGGCGCGCACTCTCCTGGGCAGACCGCTGACCATGAACGGTCCTGCCCTGCCGCACTGCACCCCACCCTGAGAGACATGCACCTATGGTGATGGTCTCCTGGCGGGATGGGATGGCGCCCATGGGCACACCCACTAGGAGATAGGCCCTGCCCGTCCAGCGTGACAGAGAGTGGAGGCAATGCTGCGACACCCTGACTTCCCTGTGCCTGTGCCACTTGGCGTCCAAGTGAAGGCTGTTCAGCCACATCTGCATGGGGCGCAACGACAGCGGGCCTAAGGGCCCAGCGGCCGAGGCAGCTGCCAGTCTGCCCAAGGGCCGGAGGAACTGAATATAAGGCACCATCTTGCCCGGCCCACGTGGAAGTAGGCATCCCTCAAGTCCACGGTTGAGAACCACTCCACCTGTGCATATGCAGTGGTCAGCATATAGAATGGCAGCACCTTCAGGAATCTGTCGATTCCTCTGAGGTCCAAGATCGGGCGAAATCCGCCGACTTTCTTGCTCACGAGAAAGTACGCCGAGTAGAACCCCCTGGGCTAAGCAGAGGGTCTTACTGGCTTGATTGCGTCCTTGGACAGAAGGACGGACAACTCTTGGGCCAGAGCTAGGGCCCCTGCCGGACTGTCAATTAGACCCAGCCGAAGGCTAGGGGCCGGAGCTGCGGTCCGTACCCCTGGGTTAAGGTGAAAACCACCCAAGGGACTGAAGTACAGACCGCCCAGTAACTGAGCTGCTGCTGGGAAAGCAGCCGACGACCGGGGGGGCACTGGGGCACGAGGCCGTCTGGAAGGCGGGCGACCTGGGGCACGAAAGTCATTGGGTCGCGCCGCTAAGACCTCTGCAGACCACCCCTGTAATCCGGCGGCTGAGTGCGGCTGCTAGAGCGGCCCCTGGGCCTGCTGGGAGTGGGCACAGGTCTGTGAAGACCCGAGAGCTGCTGCCTGGTCTGCCTAGCTTGGGCGGCACGCTCCAGTGCCTCCAGGGCACCTAGGGTCCTAAACAGCTCCCCTGGCTCGACTGGTACGCTACGGAGGACTCTCCTACATGCCTCCGTTAGTGGTGACTGGGCCAGCAAAACCTGGCGACGAGTCTGTACCAGCGACAAGGCCTCCTCATACAGAGGTGCATCAACAGAAGGAGGTGCGTCAGCCGAAGGAGGTGCGCCAACCGAAGGAGGTGCGCCAGCTGAAGGAGGTGCGCCAACCGAAGGAGGGGCGTCAACCGAAGGCCCCTACACCGGGCCCAGGCTGAAGGACCAAGAGGCGACTTCATCATGCCCCTATCAGCAGCTAGCCGATCCACTTTAGAGGACAGCTTTTCTAGTCCTTCTATTGGGGGGAGCACACATAGCCATCGCTCCCTCAAGTCGCCGGGAACGGCCAAATTGATCTGGAGGAGGATGTGACAAGGAGAGGTGTCTGTTGGCTGCTGCCAGACGTTCCACCTCAGTGATTCTAGCCACTCTGAGCGCCCGAGGCATGCAGCTACAGCTCATGCAGGCGTTTACCGTGAGAACCTCCCTCAGATGCTCACATTTCTCAATGGCTCAAAAGAAGCCATACAGGCGCTACATGAATGAGCCACTCCGTAGGTAGCCAGATGCAGCGTAGCCGGGAGCGGGTGCTGGAACACAGCCTTCACCAACTACCTGCTTAATGGAAAGAGTAGAGCGTTGCTGCTACTCGCCGAACAGAAAGAGGGATGTAATTACACCCATGTTACCGGCAGAGGGAGCGGGAGCGAGAGCACTGCCTTCACCTGGCTGGATTAATAAACACGGCAGTTCAGCGTCTACCAGGAGCGGGAGCGAGAGCACTGCCTTCACCTAGCTGGGTAAAATAAAGAAGCTTAACAGTACACGCAAGACGTTAGCCGAGCAGCTGCTGCTAACGATCAAGCGATATCAAGTCAAATAACACACATGTTTAAGACCAGATAACTAGCTTCGAAAGAAGAGAACAGCACAGAGCTGTAGTTACAGCAGTAACCATGGCCAGTGCTCACACGGCATATAACCGTAGTTACAGTAGTAACTATGGCCAGTACTTACATGGCTTGGAACCGTAGTTACAGTAGTAACTATGACCAGTACTTACACAGCATAGAGCCGTTTACGGTATTGACTATGGCCAGTACTTGCACGGCTTGGAACCGTAGTTACAGTAGTAACTATGGCTAGGACTTACGGCTTAAAACCTTAGTTACAGTAGTAACTGTGGCCGGTGCCTAAAAGTGTCAGCCAAACGGCTGCCCACTAGATAATATAATATTGGGAGGATAAAATCCTCCTTAATGGCCATACATGCAGAGCACACAGCACACAGTGAAGATTGTTCTCTGCATATCGTCCTAGTGCTAGGAGTCTAGTACTAGGAGTCTAGTACTAGGAGCAGTAAATACAACGATATAGCGCTACTGCAACCATACCATGCGTTTACCGCTGAGTTAAATAATGAAGCTTAACAGTACATGCAAGGTGTTAGCCAAGCGGCTGCTGCTAACAATCAAGCAACCAAGTCAGAACACAATGTTAAGACCAGATAATTAGCTTCTAAGAAAGAGAACAGCCCGCATAGAACCGTAGGCCATGGTTACAGTAGTAACCGCACATGCGGAGCACACAGCACCTGCAGTGAAGATGTTCTCTGCATATCATCCTAGTGCTAGGAGTCTAGTACTAGGAGCAGTAATACAACGATCTAGCGCTACTGCAATCAAACCCTATGTTACCGGGAGCTAACAGTTATGAGTTAATAGTTAAGCTTAACAGCAAGGTGTTAGCCAAGCGGCTGCTGCTAACAATCAAGCGACCAAGTCAGAACACAAATGTTAAGACCAGATAATAGCTTCTAAGAAAAAGAAAGTACTTACCTTACTCTCTGCATCTAAACGAAAAACGGGTTAAATTGAATGAGGGACACAGCCAAAGCTGGGACTCAAATGCTAATGATAGCTCGGGCACAACGCCACAAGCAGAACTTTCAAAAGAGCATAAGGGCAACTTTATGGGAGAGGAAGCGGGAACACTGTCGTCACCAGAAAGTCTAAGCCAAACAAAAAATAAGACAGCAATCAGGACAACTTGGCTGGGAGAGGGTGCGGGGACACAGCCATCACCAGCAACAAGCTGACACCAACCTGTCTGTCGAGGCTCTGCACAGCGCACAGCCGGCCACAGCTCCTGGAGGACGCGTTAACGACCCGTAGCTCCGACTGTCAGTCACGAAGCTGCACGCGGCCAGCTGCTTGCAAAGAAATCCCTCAGATCAAACGTTCAAACCTGAACGCTGTAGGCTACAAACATGTAGCCACGGTACCCTCGCGCAGCGAGAAGATTAAAGGAACAGATCCTCTGACGACACCGGCTGATATAGCCGGTGTCACGTGGGTCACAGGTGACTTTGTTGGTATTGGTACTCGAGCTGCGCATGCGCGCGATGGACATATCCAGTGCTGAAAGCACCGCCTCTGGCGGTCAGTAGGGACGAAATAGAACCATCCTGTTTCCCCCGTCCGCATAAAGTATGTAAGGACAGAGGGTGTTGTGTACTGTACAGATTATAAAGCCTGTTGAGGTACATTTGCAAATTCTCCTCCCACCTCATGGCTTAGTCGGATGGCAGCTTCAGTGAAGGACTTCCTCTCCCTGTCAAAAGTCCGCCTCTGATGATCGAGCTCTGCCCAGCGCATCTGAAGACGCTCCCACTCTTCCAAAAAGTAGGAATCAGCCAGTTCAGAGACGACAGGGGAAGCAAAGCTGTCCTGCAGACAAAAAGGTAGCATTACAAAGTCTGACACTAGCAAAAGGTCATATGAAAACGTGTTTGAACCACACCTGTAGCAGCTGCTGTTGAATTCTTACAAGCTGTTGACTCTCCTTTAGTTCACAATCTAGTCGAGCCAAGAGCTCCTCATGGTCGGTACCAACACTAGTGTGGCCTAAACACAATTAAGTGATAGACACTACTCGTGAATAAGTTAAAATATGTCAACTAATACACAGAAATAACCCCAAAATAGACAGCTTAATAATACTTTTTTTCATTTTGGAAGTCACAACTTTAAAAGATTGCTAAATCCGGCAGTTTACCTTCAGAAGAGAATTCAGCCAGTCTGCTCTGCACCTGCCTCCAACTCCGAACCACTCCTCCTGTTACATGGTCCCCCAGCGCTCCCTCAGCCTCGTCTAGCCTTTTGTCTTCAGTCTGGGAATCATCCTGAACATCCAGCACGTCAGACAGGCTCTTTAAAAACAAGGTTAGACTGGTTTTATGTTGAATATGTATCTTACTTTCCAGCATAATCACTTCCAAGATCAACAAAATAATGTCAACACAAGATCGTTTTAGAAGCTGTTCTGGGGCTTTTGATGATCTACTACCTATGTTGTAAATGTATTATCTTTTTTTAATTCACACACAACATCTATAGCACGTCTGACCGTCCTGGTAGGGGGATCCGTCGCCTGTTGCTCTCCCCATTGGCTGTGGGGTTTCTTTGGAAGTTTTTCCTTGTCCGATGTGAGGGTCTTAGGACAGAAGGTTTCGTATTCATATTCTGTACAAACTGTCCCGAGACAAATGTAAACTTGGTGATATTGGGCTATATAAATACACTTTGAGTGATTGAACCTTGTATTCAGCAAACTCTGCTTTAACTCCCAAAACAAACTATTTTCTCCTTCAACTAAGGTACAGCAACATGGTACTCTTTATCATATCACTGCAGGGCATTTGTCCTTTCATCACTTTTCTGTATATATTTAACATACAAAGTGTCTGCTGAGGAAGACCATTCGATTCAATTGAGAGTTGCACGACAGCAAAGTAACTATACAAAATAAATCATCCTTTTCAGATCCACTTATATTTTGTCAGATTTATTTTTGGCAGAAGGACTAATGCTAGTTACTGTCTTAGTTAAAGGCTTTCGTCTTTCTCTCACATGCTCCATGTCGACTCTGAGCCCATGAAGTAAAGTTGTGAGGCTGTGGCGCAGCTTCATGGCCTCCCTGAGCTCGGCTTCTCTGCGCTCCAACATCAGATGCAGTGTGGCCTCTTCTCGTCTACAAGATGGAGAGAGGGAGAGAGAGAAAGGGTTAGAAAGGAGGTGGAGAACACATTTGAAGGGCTACATCTATAAATCAGAGAGTGATATCTTACTTTGCAGTGGACCTTAATGATTTGATTGGCGGTTCTCTTTTGCCTCGACCTCCAGGGGGAATGTTCAACACCTCTATGGCTATAGAGAACAAGGCAATATGGGAAATGTTTTGTGGTTTAAGAAAACATGGATGAATATTGTGTGGATTTAGCTGATACAGGACAGATTGAGCCTCACAGGGTCCCTTCTCTCGGTGTCGTTCAGTGAGCTGAGACATTCGCTCCTTCAGTCGGTTGGTGTGCTGCTCTCTGCGCTTCAGCTCGCCCTCCTGCTGGTTACCCCGCAGCTGCAGACGAGTGCACTGGCGACAAGTTAGAGATTATTTTGTGAAGGGAGAGATGTTTAAAATGTATTCAGGTAGTCACAGATCTGTCACACATACTACATACCTTGGCCCGTTCATATCTCAGTGTGTCCTGCAGTCTGGCAACATGCTCAGACATCTCCTTTAGTTGCTCCTTCAAGGTAGATTTCCCCGCAGAATAAAACAAATGCATATTTTGTGGAAAATATTTAAAACATGCAATAAAACTGAATATTTCCATCTAACAACACGTGCATAATTCATGTATTCTCTCTATCTGATATTTCCCAAAGGACAACAAATGGTGTCATTTGTTTACATAGTCAAAATTATGTGCCAAAAAAGAGCAAGCAATCCAATCATCTTTTCATTAAGGATGATTTCACTTGTCATAACAAACCCAGCAAGCTTTTGAGATGCCCTGTTGAAATACTGTATAAAGAAAGAGACATTTTCTAAGGAGTGTTTCTTTATTTTATTCTTGTGTGCAGGTGTGTTACTATGAACTGTTATTGCCACACACTGTTCCACAAATGGGACAATAGTTATATCGTTTTGAATGGATAATTGCTGATTTGAGAATTGAGTAAAGACAAAAACGATATCCTATATTTAATTCACTTCATTATTTACCCACCCCGAGGGAGTCTCCGTGCTCTCTGTGCTCCTCCCTGTCCGCCCACCAGGAGTCACTGGGAGAGAGCTCCTTCTGAGGGCTGGGGTCCCTGAGCAGAAAGGAGTCTGTGGTACAAAAGACAAGCCAGGGGGAAGGGGACAGAGAGCTGTAAGTGGTTGTGTGGATTTAATGTGTTTCCAGCATGTGTGATCGTTTTACCTGAGTGTCTTCCAACTCTCTTCTGGCCAAACCTGGAAGCCATCTTCATGCCAATTCACAAAAGAGCATCAAGACAGAGCAAATGTTAATCAAATATAATTGTAAGTGGTGTGCACAGGATTAAAACATTTGACCTTTTTACCATGGAAAACAATGATGTGTCAAGTGCCTTACCCGAGCAGAAAGGTAAACCCTCCTCAGACAGACGCTGCCGGTTTTATTTCCAGGTGATGTCACTTCTGCTGATTACCTCCATTAGCCAGAAGGAAGCTTCAGGATTAACATGATTCAGTCAGTTGCTTTTGCCCCAACATAAACTTGTGCACATGGTTTGAAAGTATTGTTGACTTTTTAAATAAGGAGCTGGAGGTGTTGTAGGCCCCATTTAAAGAAATATCCATGATTAGAAGAGAAAACTTGATAAGAGACACACTCAGCCTTTAAAAAAAGATGTTGCCACTCAAACTGATTTAAGTCAGAACATGGTCAGCATGTCATGTCACCTGTCAAGTAAATTAGAGAATGATATTGTGTTCTGCTACACACTACATGTATTACCTGGATTTGTTGTTGTTTTTCCATACATATATCAATAAATCATCTGAGAAGTCTTCCACGACCCTTTCTGTATACAAAATAACAACCTAGAAGTACAGAACATGCTGTTAATCGTCTGTGCTAATGGTGCTGCTTGTCAGCTATTATCCTGTGCATTTATGACACTGTGGCCAGATGTCCCCATAGTCTTTATTTGACCAAGTACATTTAGTCCAGCAGTTCACCAGCCTACAAAACAACAACCTTCACTTTACTTCCCTATATTTAGCTGCCTGAATCAGAATTAAATAAAAGACGTAGCAACCTTTTAATGTGACACTTTTTCCACCTGTTTGTGTGTTAGTAGCAACAATAAACTAAAAGCGTGTGAGTCATGAAGTCTCATTTATATTTGTGTGCTATAAAAGTGTTAAAAGGTAGGGATGCACTGGTGCGATACTGGTACAAATAACTGGGCTGGACCCTTTAGCATAAACTAACATTCAATATTACAATAAACTTATGTTAAATACTCACGATTCAAACTTTAGCAGAAATTTGCCCTTTAAACTTAATTTTGAATGGTGATGACCAATCAAACTATGCAGCTTAAAGTTCTTAGTGTGATTGGAAAAAGAAGCCCCAGTATTGCTGAAGTCATGTTGTGGGCTATGTATGTCTTCCTTTAGGGGGGTAGAATCTTTGTTTCAGTTTGAGCATGATGCTTTTTAGATAACTGGGTTAAGCAGAGTGCACAACTCTATGAAAGGGATCCTATTATGCTTTTTGGGGGTTTTGTCTTCCTGTAGTGCATTATTTAAGTTTCTGTGCATGTACATGCTCTGCAGAGGCTAGAATACCAAAGTTCCTTTCAGAGGGACTTTCTCTGCCCCCCTGCCTGAAATGCCTCCATTGGACTCCTCTGTTTACTTCTGTAATATTGACATCTCTGTGTAACACATGATAGGTTGGGCATCTTTAATCACTTGAGCAATCACAGAGCCAGCCAGCTAACCAATCAGAGCAGACTGGGCTCTGGTTTCAGACAGAGGGTGAAAAGCTTTGTCGTTTAGTGGGAAGATCACAAATTACTCAATTTTGCAGTTTTAGAAATAAGCCATCCATATTAAAAAGAGATTTTTCTTTATATTCAAAAATCACATACAACAATTAGTCAGTGTCCGAAAAGTTTAATTTTGAAAAGGTTGCCGACAGCAGCAAAGTTAGAAAAGATTAACGATGTCAAAAGTTTTGGTTAATTGGAATACGATTCCAGTGTGGAGAACGATCAATGCAACAAGTCACTGAAGCATGATTCATTCAATACAAACACTTTGTAAGTCTTGAGCAGATATATTAACATTGGCTGTTTGGCCATTTATATATTAAAAGTGATTTACATGAAATATGCTCCAGGTTTCCCTATCCAAACATTTGTAAGGCATGTGTTTTTAAATTAGAGGCAGAAACATAGAGGCTAACAATAGAAACCCTAAAAGTTAAAATGTTAAATATATACAGAATAGCGATGAAAGGACAAATGCCCTGCAGTGATATGATAAAGAGTACCATGTTGCTGTACCTTAGTTGAAGACACCAATCAATTTAGCTCAATAGCTACCACTTTATCTGTTGGCACACAATAAAATATAGTGTATATAAATATAACAGAACATGTTCTGATTCTTGAACAGCACCTGGTTTAAATTAATGTTTGACCTGCCATACAAAACAAAAGAGGAATTTGCATTTTCAGTAGCCAATGACATGGGTGGAATTTCACTGACAGGAGACGGGCACCATTTGGTCAGGAAAATTACAAAGACATGTTTAGTACTAGGTAAACCAAGAACGGCTTAATCATTAGTCAAGTTAGTGTCGATACATTTTTTTTTTAGATAACATTTAGAATTTGGCCCCGTTTTAAATGAAATTGATAGGACTTATGATACTATTACATTTGGCAAACAACTGGAGCAGTTCCCTCCCCCGAACCCATCAGTCCCATGTTGCATCATCCCAAGAGGAGCTGCTGGTCGACCTACAGCGACATCGAGTAGAAATGAAGAGAGCCTTCGCCGGGTAAATTCAGGAATCCTCCACCTTTCCTTCTGCAGTAGACACATAATTGGGAAAACTTAAACTAATAAGAAGTCAATACATTCATAGGCATTTTTCTCTGAAGACATTATATTTCACATTAGGGAAAACAAAGGAGTAAATAATAGAAATGAATCAAGCTTGTATGGTAATAATGTTAATCTGAATGGGGTTGTTTGTATAAGATTCAGGGAACATGGTGAAAGAAATATTCTAATATAAAAAAGTCGTAAAACAGCAAATATGTCTGTTACTTTAAGCCAGGATTAACTTAAATGCATGTCACCATCATCTGTTGTATAAGAACAAAAAAGTTCACCGAGTTCTGGACAGTAGCAATGTGTGATTAGACTAATCACTAGCAAGAACCATCAGATGTAAGGCACTTTTTTTGCTTGAAAAACAACTTAAAAAAGGTCACATGTCATGGCCATTTCTACTGATCATAATTCCATTGTTGAGGTATACTAGAATAGATTTACATTGTTCAATGTTCCAAACTCACATTGGTTTCTCATACAGCATCTCTGTATAGTATGTGTATTCACTCTGTCCTAAACGGCTTGTTGGAGCTCCTGCCCCCCCCTCCCTGTGAGCCCAGTGGCCGTCTGCGAGACAGCGAAACCCAGCCTGAAACACAGACACACCCGCAGCCTGGCTGGGAGTTTGTGTGTGTGCCCAGGCTGAGTTCACGCTGTCCCGCTCCTCGCAGCAGCGAGCCTCGCAACGTCCTGCCGAGTTTGTGTGTGTGAGGAAGTCCGCGGATTGGTCCAAACGTAACGGCTCCGCGGACATAACGGTAAGCAGATTGGTCCATTGTGACCAATCTGCGGAGCCGTTACGTCACTATACCCAAATACGTCACTACCAAGAAGTAAACAATGGAAAAAGAGAAATCCCCAACGAGGTGTTCTGGGGCAGCATAGACAAGTATTTTCTGTGTTAGAGTTGTACTCGCTACAGGGTGTACTTTGAGGGTTTGTGACTCTGCAGACCGTTTACATGCAGAAAAAGCTTCATAACACACAAGGGGACGGGTAATAACCAGAAAAGCATGACATGGGCCCTTTAAGCAAACAAATGAGAATCAAAGAAGTTGATAACCTTACTGAATAAGGAATAGTTTCCGCCTTATATAATTTGATTTAGATTAGAAACTGTAAAGGGGAAATGAAATTGGCTTTACAAGCAAGCATCCACGTCAATAAATGAAGTACATTAGAGCACAATGAAATAAATAGGGACAGAATCCGTACTGAAATAATAACTAAATTAATCAATTATTAGATTATTGCTTGGTCCAGCTTCAACAAGGTCCAGATTTTCTGTTTTCCTTAATTTATATCATTGTATTTTGTATTTCTTTTATTTATTCAATTTATTTATCAATTTTTTTTTTCTTCTGTATGTTTGAATATTGATAGTCACAAGCATCCACGTCAATAAATAAAGTACAGTAGAGCCCAATTAAATAAATAAGGTTCAGAATTGGAACTGACATAATAACTCAATCAATTATTAGATTAACTGAAGAATTCTTTGCAACTGTTTTCGTAATTGTTTATCTTTTATCATTGTGAAATCTTTCAAGCGAAACAATTTGCTTGGTCCAGCTTGTTTGGATTTTCTGCTTTTTCTCTATTTTATATAATTGTTTTTATTTTGAATGCTTTACTCCATAATCTAATAAAAAACATACACAAGACCTTTTCTACAAGTCTTGGTGGCACTTGGGGCTTTACAGCGCCTGCCTGAATTCAGCAGATTAATGTCAGTGTAAACTGTGAAGGTGTAATGAATTTCATCCCTAGTGTACTTATTTGCACAGCTTAACTCCCCAGCTGAAGCCTCAGTGTAGGGAAAAGCAGGCCTACCTCAGAACAGAGAGCAGGATTTAGGGGGTCTGAAGGGATTATCACTGGAGGGGACCCCGACCAGGAGGGGGTCTCTGGAGGCATTCTGCAGACAGAAGTTCCTCAGCTCAGCAGCGGCCTGGGACACCTGCAGAGCCAGACATGAGGAAACATAAACATGTACAGTTGTAATGCTCCAGCTGACCTGCTGTCAAACCTACACCACATAACTGCCACTGTTTTGCATATAATTTGCAAGCAACTTCACAATAAACGGATGGGTGTGTCTATTAAACGACACTTGAACAGAGTTATAACAGTGTTTCCTTCAGATAGCACACATTAAGAGGTTTAACTTTGATAAACGTGTCGACACTTTAAAGTGGTGACGCGCTTCCACAGACTGACAGCCTCTATAACGCGGAACAAACTGCTCGCTTAACTGTGGCTTCACTAACGTTTAGTTAACTACACAGGAGTTTATGAGTAACTTTAAAGAGCACTTTGTTGAAGACATGATGTAAGAGTCCACTTTGTGTCATTTCTGCAACCGTTTGTCTCCGCCATTCAGCAGTCTCTCGCCCAGTCTTCCGTGTTTGGGTGTCAGTGTTGAGGGGGTTCGTACCTTGATCCTCCGGATGCTGGCCTCTAACCGGAGCTGCTTCACGGTCCGCTGTGCGATGATTAAGTTGTTGCTGGCGTTGTTGTTGGACATGACGACGGTTGTTGGCGGAGAAAAGTTGAGGGCTACTTTATCTAGACGGCCACCACCGAGCGGAAATTAGACCCAACTGCTCTAAACCCGACTGGGAAACATCGCTCAGCCACTGCCCCGCCCCCTGTGGGCCAGCGAGACATTCTATTGGAGGTTTGGCCTGTCATTTATAAGTGATGTTACCGCCCCCTGCATACAGCATGAGTTTCCTAGAAAGCAGAGCTGTGTATACTGTGACCTTCAGCTGCAGGGTAAACAACCACAACACAGTGTTAAATCACCACCTCATTTCCCTAGAAGTTTGATACTATTTCTCTCAAAACATTAAATGAGGAAACATTTTGTGGTGGGATTCATTTCACACGATTGCACTGTAGTGTTAAATAACTCAAATAACCAGAGAAGCAAGCAAGTGAAGGCTAGTTCACTAGGTTAGTCAATACCATACACTTTGGGCTCTGGTGGAAGAAGTAATCAGAACCTTTTTAAAAGTAAAAGTATCAGTAACAGAATACAATTATCTTAATTGAATGGTTCTTCATTTTAAACATGAATAAAGCCTCAAAACATTCTTAAAGTGCCAAAATAAAGGAATACATTAAGCAGAAAAATAGATTCAATCACCACACTTTTTTAGTATTAATATGAATCTGTTAATTAACTGAATAACGCCTGTATCTATACTTTGATGTTACAACGTAAATGTCTAAGAGTAATTCTGATTCTGATCCTGACTTATTTGCTTTTTTCAGAGGTTTAAACCTCACCTTATTTATCATTCATGTTCTTACTCAGTTTGACTGAAATTGTAAATGGACCAAGTTTTTTTTATCACATAAAAGTCAAAGGAATAAGTACAGACATACCGTGTTTACATGTCATTAGAAACTCCACAATTAATCTATAAGGGCCAACCCTTTTGAACAAGATAGTGTGTTATATAGGTTTGTGTGCATGTCAATGCACAATGCAAAGGCTAGAATCCCAACATTCCCTCCAGAGGGAGTTTCTCCCCCCCCCCCCCTGCCTGAAACACCTCCATTGGACCCCTTTGTTAACTTATAAACACAGTAACATCACTATGTAACACTGGCACTTCTATTGGCTAGCGCTCCAACACATTATACGTGATAGGGTGAGGACATCCGAGATTGACCAATCCCAACAGAGTCGGCCAGCTAACCAATCACAGCAGACTGGGCTCTGGTTTCAGACATAGGGTGAAAAGAGGTGCTGCAGCACAGGCAGTATGAAAAAAATAAAGAGCTTTTTGAGCATTAAATAATGTAAACATGTCACAGTAGACACAAAATACAAAAATGAACCTGACATGTAGCATTATATGTCCTCTTTAAATGATATCCATTTGAGGTACATAATACGGAAAAACATCATTTATTTTTACCTTCCTTTACTAGCGTTGCTCTGTATTAATCACATGACATAAGTATGTAACTTCACTCACTGAAGATAATTACTCATATCTGTGTCCGACTTGGTCTCTGGTTGATGTGACTGTTACTATAATAAACATGAGTAGTGGATGAATTGTTATTTCAACCCAATAATGCTTTCAAAGGAAAGTCTGGGGATCATCAAAGTGATTACAGATCCTCCTGACCTGGCAAACTATAACAATTAGAGAAAACTGTTGCTGTTACATTTAGTGAGTTCCATTCTCACATGGTAAAAAGGGTTAGGGCTTTATCCAGTCTTTACGGCCCTCAAAACTATTTAACATTTACAAATCATCATTTATACAGAGCAATGTGCCACGTGTGTCAATTTTAGAGCTAACATTGACACACATTGACACACAATTTAACTTTAAGTTGTTATGTGGATCTTCAGTTCCTATTTATGAAAATGCTTTTCATTTTTCAAATACTTATTTCACACAGGAGTATTCATATTGAAATTCTTTTATTTTAATAACCAGAAACATGACATATTATGTATAACATTATCCAGATATGAAATGACTCATAACATGATGAAAGATCACCCAGCCCTTTTAATCACCCCTATCAAAAACGGATGACAAAATCTTTACAAAGGAGATATAATCAATGATCGATACAAAGTATGTTAACATTCATTATACATGTGACACCAGTTCTACTAATCTTGTAAAAACATCTTGAAACAAAACACGGTCACAGTATGTTATCAGCTCACTCGGTTGCCTTTTCCCCTGAAGATATATAAGAGAGAAAGAAAGAAGAAACATGGTTATTAATGCCATACATTTCTTTGTGTTTGAACACAAGCCATGACACTAAGTTGTAAGTCATACTCACAAAGGATTGGTCCAACGGTGATGGTTTCCAGATGCTCAGAGTTGGAAACAGAGCGATAGTTCCTATGTGTGCAGGGCTATGGGTGGTGGGAGAAGTTGGAGAAAATACGATTAAAACCAGAACAAGGGGCATTTGTGATGAATTATTGATGAAGTGAAATGAGTGACTTACTGGAACACAGGAGCTGGTTCTCCGATCACACAGGCTGAGGCTGCAGTGAAGGTACAGGTCTCTGTACTCATGCTGCAGCAGGAAGAACAGGGAAGAGAAACGAGCCTGGAGAGAAGCGCCGCTCTCCACCACGGACACCTGTCTGCGGTCAGCAGGACACCTGGGAGACAGCGCCATCACACATCACTACATTCAACTTCCTGACATTTATTTTAGACCACATGGAACAGGACTAAGAGCAGTAGTGAAATAAGTACTCAGATCTTAACTAAGAAAAAATACATTATACATACTCTGTTACAAGTCTAGCATTCAGAATCTTAATTTCTTTAAGTACAAAAACATTGGCCCCAAACGTACCAAAAGTAAAAGTGCTCAAAATGCAGAATATCCCTTAAAAAAAACTATATATATTAAATTACTTGATTATAATTGATGCATTTATGTGTCTGTCACATCTGGTTAATATGGAGCTAGTTTGAATTAATTTGCATATGACCATAATTGTATGTCAATGTTTATTTATTAGTTGTTTTATATTTTGTATTCTCTTGTATCTGAATATGTTAGGCAACTAATCGTAATAGCTTCCAAAGTGTAATGGAGTAGAAGTATAAAGTAGTACTCAGGTAAAGTCCAAGTACCTAAATTGTGTACTCAAGTAATTGAGTGAATGTACTTTAAATTGCAGCCCTGCTGTAAAGGAGTACTAACTTTCTGTGGATGAGAGGGTACTGCTCGGGGTTGTGAGGGTTTGATAAGTGCGTGGCGTAGCAGTCCTCCAGAACAACAGCAAAGCTTGGATCTGTCTCCTCCACCGAGACGCCCACGTACAGCGGGGAGCCAACCGGCAGGGTGACCAGGCCTGCAGGATACTTCTCTGAGAAGCTGGAGTCGTGGAACAGAGACATGGAGGCCTTTGCTCTGGAACCAGAGCCTGTAATAGCACCTTTCAGCCTGTGGAGAAAAACATGTTTGTCTTTTTGTCATCTCACACAACTATTTTCACCATTGTGTAAAGACTCTTCAGATCCATCCTTTTTACGTGTATCAAGAATGCTATAATACCATAATGGACACAAGAGCTTCACTATTCTGGTCAAAGTCATTTAACCCTCCTGCGTGTTCGTTTCTCCCCCCTTACTTTGGTGTTCCGAGTCAAAGAAAAACACTGAAAATGTATTCCAAAATGTACAATTTGTCTATTTGTGAGTGTGTACTATCTGACAGAGGAACATAATCTACGGTTACCCATTCATTTATTTTTGACAGGGAACATAGGTGTTAGAAAGTTGACTAAACCACTCAAAATTGGTGGTATACAGCCATTTGATTTGTTCAAATGGCAAGTGTGGAGGATATTATAAGGCCTTGAGGCAATCAAATGTAAAACACAATGATTATGATTATATTATGATTGAAGAAAGTAAAGTAAATCAGTCAGATTTGACCCAAACATGACAGGAGGGTTAAAGGCTACTTACTCTAGGAATGGCCTGACAGCCACATCCATGCTGCTGTGTGTGTCCAGGGGAAACACGCAGGTGAAGGGCACACTCAGAGGATGGACGAAGGAGGAGTTGCTCTTCGGGTAGATGAACAAACTATTGGAGTAGATGGCATGTGTGCTGTTGGTCTGAAAGACAAAGGATAATCACGTTTTTGCAGTTCTATGCTTCAGTTGGCTTGAGAGGATGTGCTATTAGCAGCAGCATGACTGGATCAGGTTTACAGCAAAACACATTAACAGCAATTCTTTACCTTCAAAATGTTTCCACAGACACCGGCTCTGGTCTCCACTTCGTACCACACTACATTATCACGCACTGTGAACCGGGAGCAGTTGAGCGTTGCCAGGTTTCCAGAGAGAGGGTTCAAACCAGAGGATGTAAGGCTGTCCACATCCAGCCCAACTTGAAGCGTCTCACGGCCACACATCAGCTGAGAAGGCTGATTGGGTGCCTCAGTGGAGCTGAAGGTCTCAGTTGTTGTATCCGGTGCATGGGTGAGGGGCTCAGTTATGAGCTCAGGTGTGGTTGTTACAACTTCAGGGGCTGGTCCCTTCACCTCTGTTTCAAAAAAAGAATTTAAATGAATTGGTTTGGACATCATATTTAAAACCAATAGGAGAATAATGTCTTCTTGATACGTTTAAAACACTTAAATTAGACATATTATGTTAATTTTAAGGTTCATATTGGGTTTCAGGGTTTCTACTAAAAGATGCTAACATGGTTCTATGTTTAAATGTTCCATTATTTGTTCTCATACTGTGTATCTGAATATACTGTAGCTGTGTTCACCCTCTTTCTGAAATGCTCAGTTTTGGCGCCTGTCTCTTTAAACCCCCTTTGTGAAAAAGTCCAGTCTGCTCTGATTGGTTGGCAAGAAACATATGCTGCACCCTTACAAAGGTAGTTTTAAAGCCATAGGTGGACATACTCAGATGGGGGGGAAGTATACTCTAATTATCCTGCATGTAACATAGGGATGGGTTCCAAATCTGGCATTATGAATCTCATGTTTTCTGACCAGCCCACAGAAAAAAACGGACTGGATTGTCCTATTTCCTGTGCGTACCCAAACACTGAAAGACGTTTGAAATGGACCACTACCTGCACAGTAAGCAAGGCAGCATGTGGATGGCCTCACGAGTTTGTAGACGTAGAAGTTTCCAGGGCAGAGCTTGACCTGGATGTCTGTCTCATAACTGCAGCATTTGTCTTCGAAGGCAGCACACACCTTACGATTTACAATCTCATTTGACTCTGTGGGATGAGCTTTTGTCATCCACATGGGAGCATCAGTTCCACACCTGTGGCTACCTAAACATCTCTCTGGAAGCTGAGCACTTTCTCTGCCCAGATACATGCGATACCAGCCTTTCCATCTGATATTTCGGTCACAGCGTGGGCGGTTAATCACTGTGTTATTAGTTGAACGCCACTCATCATTCAGTTTGGTGTACTGATCACAGGGGTCAGCACAGCGAGAGCCATGACCATCGATGCAGTCCATGCCCCTGGGACAATCAGAGCATCCAGAGTGGAACAGGACAGTTTGGGTGGAGGGCTCCAGGCATGCAAAGGACCCCGGGGTGTTTTGGCAGACCTGGCGTGGGGTGCAGGGTGACTCTGAGAGGGAGCACTCGTCAGTGTCCACACAGCCCATGTCTGCTGACCACTGATAACCTTGGCTACAGCAAGAGGAGTCGCTGCAGAGCTTTGCATCGAGGCAGGTGAGCCCATCGCCTACAAAGCCATCTTTACACACACAAGAGTACGCCTGGCTGGTGAAGGAGTCGCCTCTTTCCCGTGTCTTCAGGCAGTTGGCTTCATCATGACAAGAGTCACAGCCGGAGGCAATTGTCCCTATCAAAAGGATGATTTGATGAATGCATGATGAAGCTATTACATGCAATTGCAATGCATTTCCGTATGCAGATTAAGAGTAATCGGTGTCGAGGTGTTCTATGATAACACAAAAAGTCTAATCTTTTAGTGATACCTTTAGAATTACATCAGAAGTGGGTGATTGCCATTTTTTATATTTAATGTAGATATCTGTTGTTAACAATATAACCACAATTTGTTTTTATCTTTTAGTTTTCTTCATTTTTCGGGAGTACAATCACACAGCAAACATGAGATTACAGAGATAAAAAGATATCAGATGGGTTACCTGAAGTGCTTCCTGAAAGAATCTGCAGAATTAGGGCCAAAATCAACCCCGCTGGCAACCCCATTATGGATCAAAACCACGACGCAAACCTGCTGAAAAAGACAAAAAAGAGAGACCTTTATTAATACATTACAACCACATTTGAAATGATGTTGATATGCATTAAAAAGTACCAATCCGTCAGCGTTAATACTCACCTTAGAGAGACTGTGTGGGAATTCAGGAGTTGGTGAAGAAGTTGTAGGTGTATTCTCAAAGTGTGAGCATTTATAGGGCTCCTGGAGCATTCAAAGAACCAGATGAAGCAATCACTGTTGAATTACATAAATGGGTCCTTTATTCGAGTGACAGCTAAAGAGTTACTTATTGCTCAAAAGAATACAAAATTAAGATGCAATTCAAACAGAACTGACACACCAACAAAGTCCTGAGTCGATAGATTTTATGGTACCATAATCAATCTCAAGACGGTGTTCAAACATAAAGACAGGTCTTCATAAGTTTGTACATTACAGACTTGAGTGGCCAATCTATAACAACCTTTTGTCAACAGCAGGGACTTAATAGGAAAAAGAACATCACGTTTTTTCCTGTGGAGCTCTTTAACTAACGCTTTTACTCATTTTGATCTAAAAAATGACACTGGCATCCATTTCTAGAAATGGTAAACGGACCATGAATAAGATTATTATGTCCAAAGAAGAAGAACTGAGACAGTTGTACATGTCATTTGAATCTCAGGCATGATTGAAACTTTTCCGGGGCGGTGGTGGTGAAGTCGATAGGGACTTGGCTTGGCAACTGGAAGGTCACCAGTACAAGTCTCGGCAAGACCAAGTGCTACCGAGGTGTCCTTGAGCAAGGCACCGTTCAAAAATAGCAGCACACTGCTCCTAACACTAGGATGGGTCAAATGCAGAGAAACAATTTCCCCACAGGGATTAATAAAGTATATTAAAAAAAACTGGCTCTGCTCACATAGGCAGATTATGAGATGATGGACCCCCGGGCACCGACGTGCAAAAGGCCCCACCAGCTCTACAACAAACTGTAGGAACAAGACACATACACTGAATCAGAATCAAGTTTATTGCCAGGTACGTTTACACAAGGAATTTGCTTTGATGTCTGGTGATGCAAACATAAACTATCTAAGAAAAAATGTTGCAATAGTAGGTCAAAAATATAAAGATAATACAAAGAAGTATTTTTAGGAAACGATTTAGCATTAAAAAAATAATAAAGACATGTATTTACAAATTTAAATTAAAATGTACTAAGAACCTTAAAAGCTAAAAAATAGAAATACAAAAAACTGTAGAACGATGAATAAACGACAAAATATGGCAACCTACAGTGAATTATATTTTAAAGTGGAGGGCTGTTAAGATAGTTGTTAAGCTTCTCTTTGTGGTTGTTTTGCTGCTTTTTGAAATCATTTAGAGTCTCTTTGTGTGTGTTTGCAGCTATTTTGAAATTCTTTGTAGTTGTTTTGGCCTTTTTTTATCTTCTTGTCGGCCTCTTTCATCTCTGTGGTCATTTGAGTCTCTTCCTGGTTAGTACAGGTCTCTTTGAGTGACATGGGTGAAGGACTTCACCAATCCATCCATGACAGATCGTCTAATAAGCAACCGTTAGTCCGATGTTGGACCCCATCTAATATATCTGCATTATGTATTATCTAGCTTTGAATTTTTTTTTTTTTAATCAAGCAAGATTCCTTCAAATGAGAGATCTTGCACAGCAGGAACGAGCATGAAGGAAACAGCACAATAGTAATTTGCTGTGTCTTTTTTATCATATTCCTGTGTCACTTCCTATTAAATGAAATCAGTGTGGCTCGTCCTGTAATTTTGTTCATCATATTTATAAACGTTCTTCCTTTTTAGATAAATAGTTGACTAAGAGCTTTGTTCAACAAGAGCACTGATAATATTGTACAGCACGTAAAGTACCATTTAGCTGCAGTATGCTGAACATCTTACAAAGCAATCTAAACACTTCTTTGACGAGTCAGGCACCATGCAAAAAACTAAGCCTTACTCAAATACAACTTTCAATAACGCAGTCATAAAACTGCTATAAAGAGCTCATACGGTTTGTGTACTTCTCAGGATGGATTGAGTACATTAGCTCAAACACCTTCACTGATAATGAGTCCAACACTTCAAAGCAACAGTGAAGAACAGAACATGTGACTGCATTTTCTTTTTTCATAAAAAGTTATGTTTGACTTTTTAATTAAAAAACCTTCTGGGCTCCATGAATGACAAAGGAAAATTGTATTCTAACATTCCTTTACTAGCTTAGCTCCGACATCATTTGATATAAGTATGTAACTTCTGACTCAAAATCTCAGCAAATTTCTTTTATGTGGATTTTGTGGATTTGATTTTGTGATTCAGACTTGATTTACCATCTGACCACATAACAATTTTACACCATTTTGGTGAGGAATGCAAAGAAATGGACTAAATTGGCATTTTGATCAATGATGGTTCCAGAGGACAAGTCATGGGATCATCTAAGACTGTTAACAGATCTTCCTGACATTGCAAAACAAACACAAATATAATAAAAAATATCCACCTCATGACACAATAGATAAAAATAGTATACATATCACATGAGATAAATCAAAGAAAGTCATTATTGGTTTCCCAACACTCATGATTTATTTAATTTGAGAAACTCCACAAAGAGTCATGCAAAATCCACACTTTAAAAGAGGTCATATTATGCTTTTTGGGGTTTCGCTTTCCTGTAGTGTATTATAATATAGGTTTTTATATGTGCAAAGGCTAAAATCCCAAAGGGAGTTTCTCTAAAAAATAAAGACCTTTTTGAACGTTAAAGCATGTAAACATGTCACAACAGAGGCACACAAAATAGATACTTAGTTTTATGTTGCTAGGTAATGTATTGGTCGATTTAGGTAGAGAATTGAGTAGCAATCTGGTTAAATGTTTCATGTATAAGTACTGTAAGCTGCAATGGTTGACCTCACCGCAGCTCTTATATTTTGCTTGTGTTTTGTTCAAATGTATTATTCACTCAAAAGCATTGAAAACTGCAAATTCATCGTTTAGATTGAAAAGTTCTGTCATTTTAATGAACAGTTTTTCAAGATTGACATCCAAATTAAGAGAAGTCCTGATCTTGAGAAGAATCCACATATTCATATTTCAACTCGACACTGATCAGGAAGATTTCCCAGTGAAGCAGCAGCCTGGTTAATAATTGCTAAAACTGGAAACAGCCGATAAGCCGGGCGAGGGTGATGGATGATGACAACCCTTCATCTTGTTGTTCATGTGAGGGGCTGAACTTCTGGACTTTACCATCAACATACAACACGAGTGGTAAAAGTACTTACATAATGTTCCCTTTTGCACATTTGGTGTTGAAGTGTTTTACAGTAGTTAATGCAGGTACAGTGAATGCTTGTATAGAAAATCCGCTGATGTATGCCTTCAATGGTTTACTTTGTGATATTTGCAGTCACTTACCCTATGGAAAGTATTCACCATCTATGAAATGAGAATGTTTCCGTATTTCACAACGCTAAAACAAAGATTTTGTGCTTTTTTCAAAAATATTCATAGATTAAAAGAAAAATATACAATGTCATTGTAAAAACGTATCTCAACAAATGAATACATTTTATTGGAAATATATTATGAATGCAGCTTTACTTCAGTAAGTCGCTTTTAAACTTGAAAAAAGAGAAGAGCTGTTGAGGCCACAGATTGATAGATTTAGAAAGTTTTGTAAAGGTCTCGGTATGGATTTCACATTCGGTCGGAAGTTATCAGAGTAAATGTATTTTGTCAAAACTACTTATGGATTCATGTGGAAACCACTGCTTGCAAGAAAATCAGTATATCACCTCCACGTTGATAACAATTTGGGGAAATGATACTGGGACCAATCAGCTGACTTCACTACACAAACCCACATGCACACATCTGTAAATGTAAATGTAAAATTCCTTCTATAGATTTGATAATTTAGGTTGAAATGTAATTCAATCAGTGTCATTGTGATGAGTCAATTAAAATCATTTTGAAACTGACTTGGCAATATTGAATTCCCGAAATAATAATAACAGAAACCAATCAACTTACATTTAGAAATATGATAAATAAAATACACATGATGACAGATAGATTAAGTGTTAGCTTCGCTCTCTGCTGTTCATTATTCACACACCAATCTTCCCTATTCTTAGTGTAAATTCCGATTTTGGTCTCTGGAAGCCCCCCTACCACCTTTTAAACCTAAAACATAACGGTGGGAGATCGCCGTTAGTAAATATATACTTAAGTAATAATACTTCTCTCATTACCCCCCTTACTCTAAAATGGTCCCTCATATAAAATACTATAACAACACAATTAGACTTTTGGTCCAATGTTGATGTGCAATGTTGTAGTGCTGTAATCTCCAAATCCCATATTGATTTCCAAAGTCAGGCTGTACAACCAGCAGCCAGGTTATCAATTGTTGGAGGTAGGTCATCACCTTTCAAACTTCATAAAAACCTGTTAATCCCACATCAGAAACGTCACTGATCAGTGTCGCTACGTTTCTTCCGTCCTCTCCAGTCTCTGATTAGAATTTTTTTTTGTCATTCATCGAGGAGGCTCTGTCTCCATCTGTAGTGCCGCCTCCACACTGTCTGTGTGCCTGAAGTCCTGCAGGTCAGCTGCCAGGAGAACCTCCAGGATCGAGGGCTAAAGAGCAGAGGAAGACAGAAACATAGATATATAAAAATATATATATTTGGTATTTTTATGCTGTTTTGAAAACGTACTTTTGTCGTATAACAATAAGGCATTTAGTTCCAAAACCCTAATATACCTTCTTGTTGAAAGAAGACCTTAAAGGGGCCCTATTATGCTCTTTGGGGGGTTCCCTTTCCAGTAGTGTGTTATATAGGTTTTTGTGCATGTAAATGGTCTCTCACGCACACCTCCCCCCTCCCTTCTTCTTTAAATTGAATTCTTAAAGGTGGGGTAGGTCATTTTGGAGAAACCAGCTCGAGTGTGCTAGAATTTGAAAATACACAGCCGGAAAAAATCTGCCACTTCCTTACAGAGCCCCTCCTCCAACACACACGAACGCACACATAACCAATGAGGGCACGAGATAAGTTTGTGCACAGATGGAAGGCTGACAGGCAGGTAGGCCATCCAGTTATTTTAGCCGGGCCGGCTCAGATGATTGGTCGTGCTTTTTACAGTACTGCGGCTTCCACAGATGACATTTTTTGTATGGATTTTTTTTCAAAGCACTTAAGATATTCATTGCTATCGGGATGTTAAGAGCATTCCATGGAATATAACAAAAAGTGTATCTCGAGCAGAGATGGGGTCGTTACTAATTTTTTTTATATATATTACATATTACTTTTAAAAAAAAGTAATATATTACACTATTTCGTTACTCTCTACATAAAGTAATTCGTTACTTTACTCGTTACTTTACTCGCAGGGCCGGCCGGCCTCTCCCTACAGGCAGATCACGCAGACTGTTAAAGTTTCAAATGTTCTCTTTAGTTCAGTTTCCATTGTCGCATAAGACTGATCCAGATCCTGAATGTTTTCCTATCTGACCATGGCTGTCCTCTGTCTCCTGCTATTTGTATTTTGTGCAGTATATCCAGGGCCGTTTCTTCCTATATGCGGACTATGCGGTTGCATAGGGCCCCGAATATTCGTTACAGTCTCCATAATCGAATATTATTTTCGGTCGAATAATCGATTATTATTCGCCAGGGCTGCCGATTTTGATCATGGTCAGTTTCTGGCAACCCTAATAGTAGCCTACCGGGTGATTCCCTACCGCCACGATAATTTTCTCCTCCATTTTTTGACATATGGGAAATAACTGCGGTCTGGCTCTCCCAACATACACGCGGTTTGATTGGCTAGCGCTTGTGCTGTCAGATTTGCATACGCAGGATTTGATTGGCTGACGCCTCCGTCGAGGCGGCAAAAGTAGAACATTGCTCTACTTTTGCAGCGAGCACCGCGAGAGAAGCTACGCTTTGCTCCCACAATGCAGTTCGGCGAATCGTGACGTCACCCCATTCAAAGTGAATGGGCAGAAGCGTTGAAGCGGCAACGCATGCCGCCGTGTGTAGGGTAACGGCCCGTCTACACTACAGGCGTCGAAAAAGCTTGAAGCTGGGCGTGTCTGAAGCTTGGGGATTTTTGCGAGCAACGCGACCAACAACCAATCACATGAATCTCCCGCCCCCGACATACAAAGCAATAGCAATGTTAAAACGAAGTAAACTGGATATAAAATCCCCAAACAGGCGAAAACCTACCAGTTTCACCCACTGTCTCTGCCACCTCCCTCCATGCCTGGTTCCTCCGGTTTGTATCCCGGTAAATAGTTCTGGTCGGAAAGAACCGGGTGATTTGCTACCGTAATTTCTCGTTTGGAATATGAGGAAATGAACTGCGGTCTGGCTCTCCCAGCTTGCACGCGGTTTGATTGGCTAGCGCTTGTACTGGCAGATTTGCATAAACGGGATTTCATTGGCTGACGCCAGCTTCGAGCAAGCATCGAGCCTCAAAAGTTGAACATTGTTCAACTTTTGACGCCGATAGACGCTCGCGATGCTTGCAACGCCTTGTCATGCTACCCACAATGCAGTTCGGCGAAGTTTGAAAATATCCTACGTCACCCCATTCAAATGAATGGGCGAAGCGTTGAAAGCATTTTTTGACGCCTGTAGTGTAGACGGGCCGTAAGGCATTTGTTCATGGTGTAAATTCACTTGTGGGGTGGAGGGAGTAGCTATAATGTTAGCCAATGTTTGAGCAAGTTTGCTACTTTTGAGCAAGTCATGCTTGCTGCGCTAGCCTCAGCTAGCTCCGCTATCTCCGTTAGCTTCAGCTTAATTGATAAGAGCTAGTTGGCTAGGATTGTTTGTATTTTGTAGGCGAATAAACCCACTTTAATACAGTGTTTGCTTTACGAAAAGGCTCAAATAAAATTGTCATGCAAAATGGACTGTGCTATGGGAGTGACACCTGCTGTGTTGGAGTATAGCAGGCTAAGTCAAAATCACTCCCAGTCTGTTTTTCAAGAGAGAAAAACTCATCTCTTTCGACTCCACTTTGAGCGATAGAACTATTAACAAAGCACTTATATACTAATAAAGGACTGGCTTATCTAAAGCCAGTTGAGTAGCACTTGAAATATTTTGGCTCTATGAAACCTGATGTACTTATATGATTCTGTTTTCTTCATGGTTGTATCTTCTTGGTCGAATGCACTTTGTAAGTTGCTTTGGATAAAAGCATCAGCTAAATGTAATGTAATGGAAAGTTAATAGGATTCAAGAGGTATCTGTACGTTTATTTTTCAAAAAGCTAATAAAGAAATCAATATAATATTGATCTATTGTTGGGGTTAAATTATGGAACAAAGCCAATGTACATTTAAAAATGTACCTTTTTTTTGGTTTTCAAGAAATTGTTTGTATTGCTTTTTTGGGGGATACAAATGTGAATAATGTATTTGTTTTGTTTTCGATTTAATTATAAGAATATAGGATATTCATATATAAGCTTTTTGCCAAAGTTTTGTCTTTGCAGGGGCTGTACTGAGGTGTTTTTCCTCCGGAGACGTCGCGAAGAGACGGAGCGGCTCCACCTGTTGCTGCATGCGATCTGGGATCTGCGATATACGGAGGCCTGCTCCCACCTGTTAAGTTCGGCTGTACTGAAGAGGTTTTTACCCCGGAGACGTCGCGGAGAGACGGAGCAGCTCTACCTGTTGCTGCCTGCGATCTGCGATCTACGGAGGCCTGCTCGTCGCGAAGAGACGGAGCGGCTCCACCTGTTTGCTGCCTGCGATCTGCGATCTACGGAGGCCTGCTCCCACCTGCACGGCTGCACTGGAGAGGTTTTTACCCCGGAGTCGTCGCGGAGAGACGGAGTGGATCCACGCTTCGGGCTTGGCCTGCTTCCACCGGGCGTGTGCTGCTGTACGGAGGAGGATTTTACCACGGCTGGGGCCTGCTTCCCACCTGTCCTGGTTCTGCTGTAGCAGAGGCCTGCTTTCACCCCAGGGATACCACGCTGCTGCTTTCGCCTGTCCTTTGCTGCTGTGCTGATTTTGCTCCAGGAACATCGCGGTTCCCTGGTCTGGGAAAATGGCCCATATCGGGATTCTGCTGTGCCTGTTAACTATTTTGGACTATGAGAAGATCTCTAATCATTCTGAGGAGTCTACTGGATTCAGGTCTGTTCTGCCACCCGCAGTGGGCATCCCCTGCAAAGGTTCGGATGTGTTACACAAACAGTTACCGGTTGCCTTGTCACAGTCAATCTGCTCAACAAAATATGTTTGTCTTTTTTGTTTTCCTGCGATGATGGTTCTTCAGGACTGCTTCTTAAGCTCTCATCACACTCTCGCAGACTTTTCCGGTGATTCTAAAGTAGATGACAATGTATGTGTGTCGCTTAAGAGGAAAAGATGCCTGTTTTTGTTGTTGTTATTACTGTCAGGAAATGTACAACCTAACCCTGGTCCGCCCAGTAGTATTAGTCAGATCGCTACTCCTGCTGATTTTAAAGCTAGGTCTGGGTTGGGTTTCATCCACTTGAATGTGCGCAGTCTGTTAGGTAAACTAGATTTTGTCCGTATCTGGGCAAAATCGACTGACGCTGACGTCATTGTCTTATCAGAGACGTGGCTAAATAAATCTATTTTGGCCTCTGACATTGCCTTAAATGGTTTTAATGTGTATCGTACCGACCGGCCTAATAAAGGTGGCGGCGTTGCCATTTATGTTAAGAATAAGTTCAGTGTAACCGCTGTAGTTTCCAAATCTATCAGTAAGCAATTTGAATTTTTAGCCTTAAATATAGAAGTGGCAAAGGGTCAACAGGTCATGGTCGTGGGCTGTTACAGACCCCCCTCAGCTGTCAAAGACTCCTTGTCTTCACTAGCAAATATTTTATCGCAACTAGACTACAAGGAAATCGTGCTACTTGGAGATTTTAACTGGGACTGGTTAACTGCAGTGTCAGAGGATTTTAAAAACCTTTGTATCTCTTTAAATGTTACTCAGATTGTTTACAGTCCTATTCGCCCTAATATTAAGTCCCCAAATAAATCCTCCCTAATTGATCTCATTTTAACCAATGTTCCCTATAAATACTCAGCTGTGGGAGTATTTGCGAATGATCTGAGTGACCACTGTGTTGTAGCCACAATTAGGGACACTAAGGTCCAAAAGGTTAAACCTCGTATTATCATCAAGAGAGACATCAAACATTTTGTGGAGCAGGGTTTTGTACATGATCTGTTTGGGTTTGATTGGGGAAAAATCGATCTGTGTGCTGATGTAGAAACCGCATAGTCTTATTTTTATCTTGGTTTTATGGAAATTATAGATAGACATGCACCCCTGCGTACATTTAGAGTGAAGGGACGAGACAATCCTTGGTTTTCTGCTGAATTATCTATTCTCCTACATGAGAGAAACAAGGCCTGGGCAAAGGCTAGGAATTCAGGCTCAGAGGTAGAATGGCTGCGTTTTAGGCAGCTAAGAAATAGCTTCACTTCACATGTCAAAAGTGCTAAATCTAAGTATTATCTGTCAGTTACCACAAAGAACCTGAGCAACCCTAGAAAATTCTGGAAAGCCATAAAATCGATATCCACCGGTGATATCCGTAATGAGCTACCTCCGTGCCTTACCACAGTA